AAAAAAAAAAATGTGTCCAGAATAGGTAAAGAAATCTTAAAACTCAAAAATAGGAAAACACACAGCCCAATATTTTAAATGGACGAAAGATCTAAACCGGCAAAAAAAAACAACAACAACAACAAAAAAAAAAACCACCAAAAAAACCTATGGATGGCAAGTAAGCCTACAAAGACGTGCTCAACGTAATTTTCCGTTACGGAAGTAAAAACGCAAACAACTATTAAATACCACTGCCTGCCTACTGGAACGGCTACAATCCAGAAACCCTGACCCCGCCGAATGCTAGCGGCCACGCAGAGCGCGGGGAAAGCTCCTTCATCGCTCCTGAGGAACGCACGGCGAGGCGACCACTTTGGAAGACAGGTTGGCAGTTTCCTATAAAGTTAAACACAAACTTGCCATAGGCCCCTGAAGCCATCGCACTCCCAAGTAATTTACCTCAGCCAATTAAAACTTAGGGCAACACAAAAACCTATTTGCTGAAAACCAATGTTTACCACAGCTTTGCTCATTGTCATCAAAAACCAGAAGCAACCACGTTGTCTTTCGGTAGGTGAACGGATGAACCGTGGGCCCCCATACAATGGGGGACTGTTCGGTGATAGAAGGACTGAGCTACTGACTCACACGACATGAATAAATCTTAAATGCATTTTGTCAGGTGAGTGAACACAGAGCAAAAGAGCTACCTGTTGAGCGCCTGGGTGGCTCAGTCGGTTAAGCGTCTACCTTCAGCTTAGATCATGACCTCAGGGTCCTGGGATCGAGCCCCGCATTGGGCTTCCCACTCAGTGGACCCTGCTTCTGCTTCCCCTCTGCCTGCTGCTCCCCCTTGTGCTCTCTCTGCCAAATAATAAGTAAAATCTTAAAAAAAAAAAAAAAAACAACACACACACACACACACACAAAAACCAACCACCACACACACACAAACCCCAGTTATATGTCGTGTGATTATAGTCACGTGACATTCTGGGAAAAGCAAAACTGTAGGGGCAAAAAACCCAGGTGACTGGTTGACAGGCTGGGGGAAGGGAAGTGGGCAACTGCAGAGGGGAGGCCTGGGGGGGTTTCAGGTGATGGGATTATCCTGCAGGATCCTGGAGTGCTGCATACAGAATCCTAAGTACTGCTAAATGCATAGAACTTGACAGCCGGGAGACTGAGCTTTAACATATGCACATGAAAAAAGAAAATCACCCTGAGGGATGCCTGGGGGGCTCAGTCAGTTAAGCACCTGCTTTTTGGCTCAGGTCAGGATCCTAGAGTCCTGGGGTGGAGACCACTTTGGGAATCCCTGCTGAGCTTCTCTCTCTCTCTCTCTCTCTCCCTCTGCCTGCCACTCCCCCTGCTTGTGCGCAGTCTCTCTCTCTGTCAAATAAATAAATAAAATCTCTTAAAAAAATCATCCAGAATGTTGGAAGATTCCAGACTATGACAAAAGAATCAAAATGTATGAAAAACTTCACTGTAAGCAGTAGGGGGGCTGGGGTGCAGCAGGGAGGGGTGTGGAGAGGACCTGACCTCGATAACTTTGAGAAGCAGTGTTTCAGCCAGAAACCGTAAGGCTAAAGACAAAAGGAACTGTATATAACCGCTGAACCCCAGAGGCAGCCCAGTTGTTCCTCATGGGAACATGGGTTAACAATGCTGGAATTGCTTGTGCTGGCATCCTGGGCTGAGACAAGGTAGTGGCTGGTGGAGGGGAGGCCTCGGGATTCTCACTGAGGGAGAGGGAAGTTAGGGGGAAGCAGGGAGGGAGGCTGGAACCAAGCGCACAGTCCTGGGTTTGTCAGAGATGTCAGTACGCCTTCCTGCTTAACTTCATTTGGATACAGACGACAGGTGCAGGAAAAACTCCAGATACAAGTATATACAGACACGCAAGTGTGTGTCTGTGTGCGTTCACACAGGTTAGAACGCGTGTCCCTATTTCCTAGCTCTGTCTGCAGACGCGGACTAGAAGCAGCGACAGCCCCGTGCTCAGAACTTGGTCTGTATTACATGTTTCCAGTGAAAGGCATCGGGGCCCCTTGGAGAAATGGCCAATTCTACGGCTAGGGCAGGGAGAACACAAGATGAAACCTGGGGCATCCAGAAAATGCTTTAAAAAACAAAAGGAGGAGGGCATGTGAAACAGGTAAAAAACTAAGCTAAAAGAGTTTCCCAGTCACCAAAACAGGAAAAAGGTAAGCAACAAAGTAAGTAATAAGCTATTGGACTATAACCCACAGTATAAAATAAATATCCATGAGTCCATAACAGTACAAATGAATGAATGAATGAATGAGTGAATGAATGAATGAGTGAATGGAGAAAGGAATACAGAAGAATTGCAACTAATCTGCGTAGCTATTCCCTCCTCTGGGAGATAGAACTTACAGGCCCTCCCCTCATTTGAGCAGGGACTGTGCCCACTGGCTTGTTTCCAAAGTACAGGAAGGATGGAAAGATTAGAAACTTTTCAGTGGAACAATGACTCAGAAAAGGGACCTTCTCCTTTCCCCAGGTGACCAATATGAACAGCGTCAGTGACAAGTCCCATGGATTGTATTGTCCCAAATGATAGAACAAGAAGTGTGCTTTCCCTCTGTAGTCTTCCTCCCGAGAACACATCAGAAAATTAGGGAAAAAAAAAACCACAGACAAACCCAAGTTGCAGGACATCCTACAAAACCCTAGACCAAGACTCCCAAAACTACCCGGGCAAGTCTGAGAAATTGTCCCTGACCGGAGGAGATGAGAAGATACGATGGCAAGAGTGTGCAGCATTCTGCGTGCTGGCCGGGAACGGAAGGACTTTAATGGAAAAACTAGCAAAATCCAAACAAGATATGGCGGATCATTCACAATAACGTGCCAACGTTAGCTTCTTAGTTGTGACAAATGTGCCCTGGTGGGGGAAGGTGTTGACAATGGGGAAAACTGGGTGAGGGATCAATAGGGACTCTAGAACCATCTTTACAAATTTTCTATAAACATGGAACTATTCTAAAATTTTAAAAATATTGGAAAGGGGGCATGACTTGAGAAAGGCACAAGCCTTGCTGATCAGCCAGGAGCACAAGGGCCCACATATCAGGACTGACGGAGGGGGAGAGGAGTAGAAGCCAGAGAGGCCGCAGGGACAGACCAGAGCCCTAGCAGGATCTTGTCACCTGGGTTTGAATCCCGGTTCTGCCTTATGCCAAGTGAGTGATCTTGGGCAAGTTCTTTGCTTTCAGATTCCTATGTTGAAACCTAATGCCCAACGTGATGGTGGTAGAAGTTGGGACTTTGGGAGCTGCTGGGGTCATGAGAGTGGAGCCCTCAAAAATGGAATCAGCTCTCCCATAAAAGCAGCCAGAGAGTTCCTTTGCCCCTTCCAGCACACTACGGACTCAGGGAGAAGGTACCATCCATGAACCAGAAAGCAGGCCTTTGCTAGATACCGAATCTGCTGGTGCCTTAACCTTGGACTTCCCGGCCTCAGGAACTGTGCCAAGGAAACTTCCATTGCTCATAAGTTACCCAGTCTCTGCTGTTTTGTTACAGCGGCAAGAATGAGCTTAGACATTCTTCAATCTCTCCAAGCCTCCATTTTCTTATCTGCACAATAATGTAGTCTCCAGGCCTGGGCACAATGTGCAGTAATAAGAAAGGAAGCACCCGTAAAATATTCGTGGAAAGAATGACCTGACTATCCCCTTTGGGCAGAACCAGATCCAGGGTGTGGGAGCTGGTGGCCAAGCAGATTATATACAAGAGAAGGAAGTCTCAAGTCACCGGAACCACAGGGACCGAATAGGGAATATGGTCAACGATATTGTAACGATGGAGACAGATGGGGTCTGCACTTGTGGGGAGTACAGCGTAACATAGCGAGAAGTGGGCCGTACCCCTGAAACTGATATAGCATTGGGTGTCAACTATACTCAAATAAAAATATTTTTTTTTAAGAGAGAGCGGGGGACGCCTGGATGGCTCAGTTGGTTAAGCGTCTGCCTTCAGCTCGAGTCTTGGTCCCGGGGTCCTGGGATGGAACCCCGCCTCAGGCTCCCTGCTCAGCGGGGAGTCTGCTTCTCCCTCTCTCTCTGCCTGCTCATGCTCTCTCTGGGTCACTCTCTCTCTCAAATAAATAGATAAAATTGTTAAAAAGAGAGAGAGAAAGAGGTGCTCCCCAGGGATGGCAACTAGGTGCACAGTGGGGGACGGACTCCCCTCGTGGGCGCTGGGCTTCCTGTGCTAGAAGGGACTGACGCAAAGGGCACATGTCAGGAATACAGAGCAGGAGATGGACCGTGAGGACAGGCGACCTCGAAGGTCTACACCACCTCCAGGATGCTGGTTTGGGATGACCTGTCAACACTGCCCAGCACCCTCCAAGTGCACAGGAGGCAGGGAGGGGCGTGTCCCCCCCCCCCCCCCGCAGGCTGGCCCAGGCCCCTCCCCCTCTGCTCTCCAGCATTGGTAAACGCAGGCATCACGTGGGCTTGAACAGAGCCTGGGGCGGCCCCACACTCACATCCTCCAAGCGCACACCGCCTTTCCCAAACCAGATGCTCTGAACACACATCATGATCTGTGAGCAAACATCCCGGCCCAGGGACCAAACAACCCCCTTTTGTTTCCAAGCCAGGGACCAAGGGCCAGGGCCCAGCACTGCCGAATAAATATGCTTTCAGTTGAAAAACGTAAAAGTGTTTTCTCACTGAAACCCAAGGGGTGAGCTGAATTCTGAGGTTCCTTTATGTGATTTTCCATACTTCGGCTGGGGTTTCCGTTACCTGCTGTCCTCACGAATTTCTCTGGAGACTCCCTCCAACCCTGACCAATTTCCCCTCCTCGGAACCCCTGAAGCCCCCACAGTCAGAACCAGCCCAGATCTGTTCACACAATGGAGCAGCGCCCCAAGGTGTCTCCTCGCTGGGATTGTCTGCTCCTCTGAGACACACCGAGGGTCATACAGAAAGATCTAGACCTGGCACCTGGATCCAAGCCTCAGCTCTGTATCTTACCTGCCTGGTGATCTTCTCCAAACTGCCGCTCCGGCACATTTATTTTCTTCATATAAAGCTCGTCTCCTTCCCTCCTTTCCAGGAGGTCAGTGACACGAGGAACAGTTGCCTCCCAAGCCCTGAGAGGTCTCAGGCGTCTTCATCTGCTGGGGAAAGTGCCCGCATCTGGGTTGGGTTTTGGTCTGCAGTGTCAAAAGGATGCAGAAGAAGTGCTTTAGAAAAATCTATTTTTATAGGGCTCTGCTCAGAGCCTTTCTGCGTGGGCCAGCTGGACATCTGGACAACCCATCTCCTGAATGAGACCGGAGTGAGGCTGTTTCCAGAAGAACATCAAGTTCTTCCCTGGGAGTTGTTAAAAAAACAAAATTAACCCGAGTAAATTTGAAGATCTAATGGGCTTTATGAAATGATTTGTGAATCGGGCAGCATCCCATCCAGCAAGCAGCAAGCAGCTCTGTCATGCTATAGAGAAGGAAAGATGTTTAAAGGCAGAGAAGGGGCAGGGAGAAAGAGAAATGATTAGCAAGGAATGCATTGTTTCAGGCAAGGTTGTCCTCCTCGTTAAGGGCCTACGAGTAAATTTCCTCGTGCTGACCGGAAATTCCATGTTGGCTGGTTAAAGGTTACATTCCTGGGAGGGTTGAAAGTGCAGTTGGTTAAGTATTAGGCTTGGTTTACTTGTGTGAGGCCTTAACATAAGTGACTCCATTTTGGGCCTGTGGTTTTCTTTCAAACAAAACCAAACCCAAGGAGAGCTGGAGGCAGAGCCCCAGACTGGGCAGGACTGAGGGGCCAATCAGCAAACTGTAGGTCCAAGAGGGTTTATCACTGGCTAATCCTGGCCCCCCACCCCTGCCACCCAACACCAGTCTCCCCCAATCTCCTCCCCCAGCTGGAAGGGCCTCTCTTTAAGGATCTGGTAACCTCGTCTAAGCACAGATCACTGACCTGTTTGGGAACTGGTTGTCTTCCTTCTCTGACTATTACCCCCCCTTTTGAGCCAGTACCCCTTGTGCTCGCTTCCGCTGCACATATACTAAAATTGAGCCAGTACCCCTTGCTTGTCAGACACTCTTTCTGCCATTCCTCCCAAGAAAAAGTCAACCCTCTCAATGAATTGAGTAACAGACTTAAAATTTCTGACTTCTTGTTCCAAACCCACTGCTCAGTGACTCTAGCCTCAAAGCCTCCTGAGTCCCAGCAGATGTCAGATGAAGGTCCACAAAGCTACTGGGTGACCAAGCTGGCCGGCCCAGTCTTTGATGAATTTCAGATATGCCACTGAAGCTGAAAGGAGCACAGCTTGGCTGTATGGGGCAACCTCTTCACCAGAAAGGGGAATGTGGATTTTATTTCCTGCCCTAATCCCTGTGCCACATACTTAGCGATCAGGCAATAGTCTCCCTACCCAACCCTTTCTGTGTTCACTCATTCATTCAAAAATACTTACTGAGTAAATGCCAAGTTTTGTGGTGTGAGGACCCCCTCGGAACCCCAGAGTTGTAAAGAATTTTTTTTAAAGATTTTAGTAATTGGGGCGCCTGGGTGGCTCAGTGGGTTAAAGCCTCTGCTTTCGGCTCAGGTCATGATCCCGGAGTCCCGGGATCGAGCCCCGCATCGGGCTCTCTGCTCAGCGGGAAGCCTGCTTCCTCCTCTCTCTCTGCCTGCTTTTCTGCCTACTTGTGATCTCTGTCTGTCAAATAAATAAATAAAATCTTAAAAAAAAAAAAAAGATTTTAGTAATTTATTTGTCAGAGAGAGAGAGATCACAAGCAGGCAGAGAGGCAGGCAGAGAGAGAGGGGGAAGCAGGCTTCCCGCTGAGCAGAGAGCCAGACATGGGGCTCGATCCCAGGACCCTGAGATTAGGACCTGAGCTGAAAGCAGAGGCTTAACCCACTGAGCCACCCAGGCACCCCGTAAAGAATTTTTTAAATTTTAATTTATTTTTCTTAAGTAAATACTGCACCCAAGGCGGTATTCAAACTCACAACCTTGAGATTAAAGAGTCGTGTGTTCCACTGATGTATCCCACCACGTGCCCCAAGAATATTTTAAGCTGAAGACATTTGAGATTCAACAGATGAAGGGAAAAGCCTCATGGGAGGCTAAAACCAGAAACTTCTAAGAAATGAGGATTGCCGTAAATTCCTTCTTTGGGGGAGATCTACTCCCGGGAGAGAGTAAACCTAACATAGATTCCCTCTCTGGAGGAGTTTTATGGCCCTGGAGAAGAAAGACCACTCATACCTTTATAGACAAATATTATCCCAGACATTCTTTTGTCCCCTTTGTTCTCCTAAAGAAACTTCTACTTCCCACAGGAGGCTTTTCTCCCCATTTCCTTTCCCCCACTAAATTAGACATAGGAACCCCTAAATCTACCCATCCCTTTTTGAGTTACTCATCATTGAGCACTCTAGTGTGTAAACAGACTCTTTTCATTTGTTAACGGATCTTTTGTCAGTTTAATTCAAAGGGCCGCAGGCACAGAACTTAAGAAGGTAGAAACCAAGAGTTTTTTCCTCCCCAGCAGTGGTCTTTTACCCCTCAATTCTCAGTAGGGCTTATAGCCCCTAAACCCCTCATCTAGCACTGCCAGCCTCTTGATCCTAAGACATTAAACCCTTCTCATGGGGCCCTTGGGGGTGTCCCTGTCCCTAGCCTTACTCCCTGGCAGTCCTCACTCCCCAAGTATCTACTAACCTCAGCAGAGGAAGTCCCTGGTATGTGGGTCTTGAGCTCAAAATCCACTCCTTTCCCAGCACAACCACAGGCCTAACCTATCTGTCTTTCTAGAAATTAGATTCTAGATTCTATTTGTCTTTCTAGAATCTAGAATGTTGATTGATGCCCTGGCAGCTCTTGCCAAACAATATGGTGGTCAAAGAAGCTTTGGCACAGAGTCCAGACCCTTCAAAGTCTTACCAGCGAGGTGACTTGCAGAAAAGCCTCTTTGTTTCCCCAATAATCCAGCTCATCTTTGCTGAATCAGATACCCCCACATTTCTAAAGGGCAAACATTCGTCCTCAGAGATAGAACCACCTAGTCTTTACGGAGGACGGGACAGTGTTCCTAAGGGCCCTGTAATTAGTACTTTACACCACCCTACCCCCAGCCCCTTGGTCTGCCAGAAACAAGAAAAACCCCAGTGAGCCCACACTCCTTACATGCAGCTCTCAGCTACATACACAAAGACCGGACCAAAAGAAAATGATCCCCCATAAAGGCCCAACTGCATTCTTAGTGAGGGTGGCCCTCCCCCTCTGCCACTGTCTTGGTGGGGATTGGGTAAGGGGAAATCATTCTTCTGGTGATCTCTTGTGTTTGGGAATGTAAAGTTGAGAGATCTCGGAAGGCATCCAGGCAGTTGGAAATAAAGCTTCTGGGAGCTCGTTGATCCAAACAGATAGATGTGAAAATCATCAGCTCTAAGGTGGCAAGCCAACTTGTGAAAATGGGGACACCCCCTTGGGGGCACAGGCAGGGACAGGGCAGAATCTCTGTGTTTTCATCTGCCTGGCTCGGGAGAAGATGACCTCCTTCATCTCTGGCCAGCTCCCCCAGATACTTGATGCAGAAGAAGGGGCAGGAGAGAACTAAGAAGTTCTGAGTGCCTACCATAAGGCAACATCAGGACAGGAGTGGGCCATGGGGTTCCAAGTCCTCTAAACTGGGACTGAGCCCAGCTCTACTACTTTTGTAGTGGGATGACCGGAACCAGCTAAAAATGGGTGGGGCTCCATGAAAAGTGAAAATACCAGGCCCTTTGTCCCCAAATTATGAAGAATTTCAAGATGACAACAGAAGAGCTTTCCACCAAGTGCGGGTCCTTCTCAGTGAGGGGTCTGTGAGACAGGTCTCAAGTCCAGGAAGCCAGCCCTGGAGCAATTCGGAGCAAGTTCCTTTCCTTCCCTCTGATTCTCGGACTTCTCAAAAGTTGTTGGGACCCGCGCAGGGCCACATACCTAGAAGGAGCTAAAATTTGGGTTGTTTCCATATCCTTATCCACAAGACTGTTACTTCCTTGAGGGAAATGGCGATCCTTTCCATCTTTTGTGATCACAGCCCCTGGCATACAGTAGGTGCTCAATAAATGTTACAGAAGCACGATGTTCTCAAGTTCTTGCAGATCCTAGAGCCTGCCTCACTTTCAAAGACAGCTGACTGGTGTACCAGCTGCTTCTCTCAATGTCCTGTTTCCTTCCTCAGCTCACGGGGACCTAGGTCCTTGACCCCTGAATCCTCACCCCCACACCAGGAGATAGGTCATCCACTTCTCTTGTTTTCTTCCACAAATAAACTCTCAGCCACCTGCTTGGCACTGTCCCCTCCAGTAACAATGTTCGAGAAGGTTATTACAGATCCTGCCCCTCACCTGTAAAAAAAAAAAAAAAAAATCTTATTGGTCAGTCATGAATTTCAGAGGATGGCACAAAACATTAATTTTCCTGTGAGGTCAAGGCTTGGGTAGAGACCCAGGCATCCCTTTTTCTCACTTCTAACCCTCCTGTCGCCCTTTGCATTCCCTCCACCCTCCCGGCAAACCTATCTTCACTCGGGCTGCTGCCCTCAGTGGTCCAGACACCTGGGATCTTCTTGTTTCCATCCTAGGAGGGAGGGGGAACAAGGACTCCAGGGGCCTCGGGCCTCTCAGATTCATCAAGGTGAGAGTCAGCAGGGCAGGAAGACCTTTCTGTCACCTCCCCTAACTTGACCTTGTTTCATTATTATTTTTTTTAAAGATTTTATTTATTTATTTTACAGACAGAGATCACAAGGAGGCAGAGAGGCAGGCAGAGAGAGAGGAAGGGAAGCAGGCTCCCTGCTGAGCAGAGAGACCCATGCGGGGCTCAATCCCAGGACGCTGAGATCATGACCTGAGCTGAAGGCAGAGGCTTAAACCCACTGAACCACCCAGGCACCCCAACCTTGTTTCATTATTACGCTCCCGGGGCACCTGGCTGGCTCAGGTGGAAAAGCATGTGACTCTTGATCTCAGCAGCCTGCGTCCGAGTCCCACACTGGGTGTAGAGATTACTTAAACATAAAATCTCGGGGCGCCGGGGTGGCTCAGTCAGTTAAGCATCTGCCTTCGGCTCAGGTCATGATCCCACGGTTCTGGGATCGAGCCCCGCATTGGGCTCCCTGCTTGATGGGAAGTCTGCTTCTC